CATTCAAGAAGAGGGTCACATAAAAGCCGGCGATGTTGTTCTTTTTATTCACCCTTTCTTCCTCTGTCTCTGCCCAGCGGGGAATAAAAGTATGCAGAGACAGGTCATCTGGGCTAATCACACACCGATGATGTCTTTTTATGGAATCCACGAATTAAAGCAGGGGGACCATCCTAACCATTTCACTAGCACCAGCTTTTTCTGCCCCACTTTTTTTTCACACTCTGTTTTTATCAATAATCACACATTGTATTTCAGGCTCATAAAATGTTCCTTTCAACACCTCTCCTGCAAGGTCCGCTAGTCTGTACACTGGTGGCTGTCTCCCTATGCGTTCCTTCACGGTAAAGATCTCATCGGTGTAGGTCTGCTCATACCCTTTTCGAAACACGACTCTCAGTTTTGATATTCGTACAGTGTCACGAAAATTAAATTTAAAGCATGTTTTCTTCTGAGGCTTCGTCTTGTAGAGCATGTTAAAGACCAATTTCTCATTATCGTTATTCACCTCTGCTGGTGCCATTTGAATAGACCTATGATAAGACTTGTTATATGCTTGTGTGAGATCAAGGATGACATCTACGTATCTCCGGGACTTGGCAGATGTTAAGTACTTCCACATTCTACCCTCGAAGCTTCGGGTAAATCTCTCCATAACGCTAGATTTAACCCTGCTAGCTGTTGAGAAATGCTTGATATTATATTGCTTCATCAGCTGTTTAAAGGTTGTATTATAAAAGCCTTTACTGGTTTGTAGTTTCATAGGGATCCTTCCCGCAGTAAGCATATCCTACAGCTGCCCTGTCTTGTTTGTGAGACATCTAACCCATGCATACTTTGAGAATACATCTATACATGTTGTCAGGTATCTCACATTATCATTATCTGCTGAATATTCAGGCATATCAACCAGGTCGGCTTGAAACTGTCTGTCGATCTCATTCACCAATAATCTATTTCTGGGAAAGTGTATCCTCACAGTTTTATGAAGAGTGTAAGTGTCATCTCCTTCTAAATAACGTGTCACCTGCAATAGTGGTGGCGTTACACCTGTTGCCTCTCCTGCTGCTATACGTAGCTTATTTACACCACCCAGCCCTGCAGAATGGGCTGGATCATGATATATTTTATACAAGGTGTTTTTCATGATCTGTTTGAGGCACAAATGACGCAGATGTTGATGTTAAGACATCTTTTTATTTAATTCACATTCACAATGAATACTGAACAGCATACATTAAATCTTACGCTTCCCTATGAGTAATTCATGATCATGCGGACCAGTCTCAGTTTAACAGTATCATCATAATCCAGTATGTGGTCGAGCACATCATCGATGGCTAGTTCTATGTTTAATGATGGTTTAAGGTCATGAAGAACAGACATCACAATGCATGTGGGATCATTCTTAGCCTTCCAGATGTTGTATGACCAGAGTAAGAGTCGGATGGCAGGGATGAGCCGTGGCGTTCATAGTCTCTTCATTATCTTGTCATAGTGGTCTGCGTAGAAAAACTCAACTGCGTGTCCTCTGTAAAAAATGAAAACCACAAGGTCTTAATTAACACACACACACACACACGCTAACCTACCATTTATTTATTTAGTGGTCAGACGGTCTTATGATTTTAGGTCTGAAAAAAGTGCATATATGTTACTACTCACCCCTATATCACAGGTCACACATCTCACAGTAACTATAAAGACAATGTGAAAATATTATGTTTTATTTGAAGCAATGTTAGAGCTGTAAAAAGAAATTAGATGACTGGTACAGTCTGTGCTTAGTGTAAAATATGGTATTGCTAATTTTTTTTCTGATCTAACTGCACACAACTAAACAACAAGCCACAGCCTTTGTTTCTACAGTGGGGACCAAAAGAAGGAACTCAATTAATTTCATTTGCATCAAAAAATGTTCATCTTACCCACTGACAGCTCAATCTTGGTGTAATTTCCAACTCTCCACTGTGGGTCTGACCCACACCAGTATGTCCCAGTATCATGTACATCTGAGTATCTGATCCTCACTGTGAAGGAGCTGGAGGCAGCATCATCTTGCAGTGTGACCCTTTGATCCATCGAGATGTCTGTGCATTTGTTGCGTTGGTCTCCCTTACAGAGGAACTTGCTGTTATTTCGGTGTTGTGGAGGATAAGGACACTGCAAAAGTAGTAGATTTCCTACAATACCATTTATGTGTTTTGCTTTGACACAGCACCACTCTGTCAGATCAAAAAAGAAATGGTATTATTTAATCATGAAGTATTCAAATTTCACAAAACTATTTGACAGCAAATAATGTCTTCTTGGCGCTGGTGTAAAGAGCTATTACTATGAACTCTCACCTTCAACTTCCAGCTCAACAGCAGAGAAAACATCCACGTCAGAGTTTCCTTGAACACCACAGAGGTACGATCCTGAATCATTACGAGTCAAGCTGTTAATGGTCACTGTGAATGTTCCTGACACTTTGTCATCATCAAGTCTGAATCGCCCATTTTGTTTGGTGTCAGAGGTGATCAGTGCCTGCTGCAGACATGTGGAGGGCCGGTTTCCTCTGCAGATGTACTTCAGGCTGTTGTGGTACCGAGACTCATACGGACAACTGACAGACTCAGAGTATCCCTCATAACTTTGAACTTTGGTCACAGTGTCACAGCAGCTGTCTGTCAAGAAGGTAAACAACACCAGAAGAAGTGTTACACCCATAAATGGCTATATATAAGGAATAAAATTTTCATATTTCAACTCATTGTTTTAATGTTTTTTGGTTTTGTTGAGGTTTACTTCTTCTTGACCTCACCGATCTGTGTGATATCCCAGGTGGAGAGGAAGAGTCAGATGAAGCTGGAGTATTTTTCATCAAAGCTTTATTACCAATGCACACTGGGAGATCCCACTACATGCAGTCACAGCAAGCACCAAGTGGATCTGAGGAGCACCCCTCATACACACCGTTATAGAGTAAGTGGAGGGGCTGCCCTGTGCCACCCCTCTTCAGTAGTTTTCCACTAATTCTATTGTTCAGTCAGCTTTTACTCCTCATTTTCGACAGGCAGACCCCCACTGTCAATAAATTCCTTATTCTACACAGTTACACACCAGAACATATAGCTAAACCAACTAGTTGACAACAAAAGTCCACTATAGTCCTCTGAACAGGGGTTGACAAAGTAATCCCAACAAAACACAGTTATGAATCATTTCCCGTTCTTCTAATCTACAGTCACACCGTATTATGTAAGTAAACCTAAGCACATTCTATTCTAATCATTTTTTTATTCTACTCACAAATGCTTCACATAGATTTATAAAGTTGTGACTTTTTTCTATCCTGCAGTGCTTGTATGACGGTTTAAATATATTTACTATTTGCATTTATTATTTTATCTCCTCATCAGTTTTTTAAGTGTTGTTGCTACTGGTCTGTAGATGTTTATCTATCAGGCTAAATCAGTGGGATGAATGAATGTGATCTTAATTAAAGATTCAACTAAACCCAACCAGTGACTGTTGAGTTAAACTACAGTTAAACAGTATGTTGATGCTACAGCAGAATTAGCTGGTAATGGCAGTATGTTTAACTTTCTTTATATAATTTTTAATCACTTTAAATGTACAAATCCATGTCTTTATTTACCTGGTACTAATTTCAGCTCAACTTCAGTGTAGATATCTTTCCAATTTTTGGTAACTCCACACCAGTATTTCCCAGCATCCGTGGATTGAAGATCAGCGATGGTTGTTGTGAAGATTCGTGCTGTTTTGTCATCATGGATTGTGTATTTGTTTTTCATGGAGTGTGATGTGGTAATAAGAAGATCACTTTCACCACAGTCGTTCTTACACAGGTACTTTTCATAAGATTCATAACCCTCATCATAAGAGCAGGAAACGTTAACCTCTCTCCCCACATATCCAGTCACATGGATCACCCCTGCTTCACAGGTCACACATCTCAGAGTAACTGTAAAGACATTTTGAAAATATTATATTTTATTTGAAGCAACGTTAGAGCTGTAAAAAAAAATCAGATGACCAGGACAGCCATCTAACTTTTCATAACTGGTCCTGCATACTGCTCCTTAACAGTAAAACAGATAAATATACTGTTTAATCTACATCTGCCTTTGACCTTTATATGTTTATTTATTTATTCTTTTAAAATACTTACTGCAGAGGATGAAAAGCAGGTTTTGGAGGCTCCACATCTTTGCTTTGGCTGATTGAAATGTAAGATTTGAAAATGTTAAGAAGACACTGTGGTCTTTTACAGCAATGAGAAGGGACGTGCAGAGCTGAACTATCAGTACAGAGGGGATGGCGCTTTCTTCGATGTCTCTTCCTCTAAATGTATTTCAGTAATTTATAAAATAGCTGACATAGGCCATCTAGTGGTGAAAGAAGTATTTAGAAGTTAGAAGTGTTAAGAATAGCGCTGCCAAAAAAAAAAGAAAGTTATAACATCTAGGAAATTGTACTTACAGATTTGAAAGTCCAAGCTTTCACTGCAGAAAAGTAAACCTCAGAGGTTTTGTCTTTTATCCTGTTGACATTACCCATATGGAAAAGAAATAGTAAAAACATATATGATTTACTCATGAAAGTGGCCACTTTCATGAGTAAATCATATATAAATCATATAAGGATTACATGATTTACTCATGAAAGTGGCCACTTTCTCATTACTTTCATATATTTTTTTAGTAAGTATACAAAACATACAAGTTTCATTATATAATTTTTCAAGGGATCTTATATGTGTTTTCACTCTTGTATGCTTTTCATACAAGTTTCATACAAGACAGATAAAAACTTTATAAGATTTACATATATCTTTTCCATATGGGTAAGCATGCTTTAATATAAAAGCATCATTAATCTCCTGATTTTGTTTCAGTTCCAAAGCATGAATTCAAAATGGGGAGAATTTATAGAGGCCAATGCCAACATGTAGGGAAAAAATCATCTGCACCTCGGGACCTGCACAGATTCTTCTATGCATGGATAGGATAGACTGTCTGTGAGATCAAGGAGCTTCTTCCAAATTCTCCTCTCAGACAACTCAACTGGAGTCTAAAGTTCAGTTCACCGACTCCTTTGGCATTGGCTGCCTTCACTCTGCTGCTCTTGCAAACTGCCAACACATAGTGATAGACCTTAACAGATCCCAGTCCTCATAATAATAATAATAATAATAATAATAATAATAATGGATTGGATTTATATAGTGCTTTTCAAGGCACCCAAAGGGCTTTACAATTCCACTATTCATTCACTCTCCCATTCACACACTGGTGGAGGCAGCTACAGACTGACAGAGGCGAGGCTGCCATATCGCGCCATCGGCCCCTCTGGTCAACACCAGTAGGCGGTAGGGTAAAGTGTCTTGCCCAAGGACACAACGACCAGGACAGAGAGCCCGGGGATTGAACCGGCAAACTTCTGGTTACGCTTCCCAACCTATCTATTTAAAAAAGTAAATGAAAGTAACAGATGTAATCGGAAAAGCAGTTGTGGTGATTATAGTTTATTTAGTTAAAATAAATGAAGATGAATAGAAATCAATGTACTATTAAATGTATTATTATGTGTCGCCAGACTGTATTTTATTTTACTTTGCTTATTTAGTTAGTTCACACTCATGTTGATAATTTACATTTGGAGAATTCTACATTTTTATTTTAAAAAGAGTAGAAAGTTTTATGAACACTCTAAGGAATACTAATGAAATGAAATATATGGAACCACAGTTGTGAACTCAATTCATGTTTTTCTATTATGGAAACTTTCATTACAGTGGATTTCTTCTGTTGTGGGCATGTTTGTGTAGACCTCTTCATCTCTACCTGGATCTTCATGGTGGCTACAGGTGCGTTGCTTTTTGTAGGTCAAGACACTTTCTTGATTTTCATAAATCTAAAAAAGAATCAGCACACAGTAAGCAGAACAATGAACGACACACGTTGCAGAGACCTGGGTTGTTGGAAACATTTTGAAAAAAATGTCTATACACTGGCATTTCAGCCAAAGTAGCCTTATGCTTCCTCCAGCAAGTCAGGTTGCAGTATTAATTTATGTCCATCCAGGGTTATAATAACCAAAATTTAGTAAACATTTTTTTTAAGGAATTATAGTTAAGGGTAATAAATGTAACAGCACACAAATTCTCAGTGTTCTGGAAGTGCAGCCTGTTGGTCAATAGTCACTCTTTCATGTCAGTAACTGAAATTCAGGTGCTTTATCTCCATATTGTATTATTTCAAATCCTGGTTCTTACTTTTATGGCCTTGGGAGTTGGTGGTCCCCAACTATATCTTAGAACAGGGGTGGGCAACTCCAGGCCTCGAGGGTCGGTGTCCTGCAGGTTTTAGATGTGTCCTTGAACCAACACAGCTGGCTAAATGATCTCCTCAACATGTCCTGAAGTTCTCCAGAGGCCTGGTAACAAACTAATCGTGTGATTCAGGTGTGTTGACCCAGGGTATTATCTAAAACCTGCGGGACACCAGCCCTCGAGGCCTGGAGTTGCCCATCCCTGTCTTAGAACTAATTTACTCCCAAGCTGGATCCTTAGGTGGTCAATAGCCACTCTTTCATGCCACAATGTAACAATGCACCATGATACACTTACTAAAAGTGTACAGTTAATGTCACACTATGATATAGAAGTGAAAACAGGTCAAGGGAGCACTTCTCTTTTAACTCTTGTGTTCAAAACAATTAGACTACATCTTCCTATTTAATTAAATCGCCAAATAAATTTTACATATTAAAGGTTGTTTGGACTATGAGTAAAATCAGTCATTTCTTTTATTGTAATTATTTATAGTGAAGTGTGTTATAGACGCACAACTCTATTAAGATTCTTTCTCTAAGACTTACTCTGCTTCCTGTTGCACCCATCACTTCCTTTGAGCTCTTTGTCTTGGGTGTATGTTTGCTCGTGGTGTCCCCAGCTTCAGAAAATACACAGCATTAGATGTGGTTATGCTAGTTTTTCATGCACATCTGAGTTTAAGGGTCTCTGTTTGTATATGAATGTAACAATACCTTTGAGACATCTGTACTTATAGACAATTACTAGAACACACATTAGCAGCAGCGCAACGGGTACTGTGTAAACCACATAGAGTGCTGCATCTGAAAAATAGAAACCAAAACAGAACACAGTAAAACTGCAGTTTCAATAACAATCTTTCATGGACCTAACAGCAGACCTGTGGACTTACGTAATGGTTTCATGATCTTTGGTTTATACGTTATGTGTGTAACTTAACTGTGGTTACTGGTGCACACACCCACAGATGTTTTAACATATTGGCTTGACCAAAACCAAATGTTAACCATAATTCATGGTGTAAAATGTATTTCTTGTCACAACACCTATCAGCTGAAGTACACAGTAACAAACACACACGTGTTTCCTGTATCTGTAAAAGTTTTACCTGGGATTCTTGTTCCCACTGTGGTGCCTGGAGTTACAGTGCTGGTGTGCTGCAGAAAGACTGTAAGAGAAAAAAAAAACTCTTAGTGCTCTCAGCAACTATATTTCAGAGACAGATTATAGTCAAAAAAGTCAAAAACACTGGGTCATTTGACCAAATGTTTGTACCAAAACACTTTTTCACGTTTTCTCCATTGAATTACCAGGAAACACATAAATCAACCAAGAAACCAGTGCTTATTTCTGTTACTGTTTTTCATGGAGTTTCATAGACATTAAATTGGTCATGTTTGTCAATCTGTTTTTAAAACCAAAGGTGATTGTGCTTTTGAGGTTGTAGCGCACAAGCTGTGAAACAGACGTCCCCAGTCAGTCAGCTTGGCTGACTCAATCTTCAATCCACCCTATCTTCAGCCTGACGAAACATTTTTTAACTCTGTGTTTTTAAAAGTGCTACATAAATGAAGTTATTGTTATATATTCCATGGTATCAGTTTTCACAGTATTAATACTCAGGTGATAGTTACACTTTCAAGGTTTGCTTGATTCCTATTTTATATTTGTAGTTAATACATGTGAGCACATAGCACATAAGCTTGTATAACTTAACAAATTCTTACATACAGCAAAACAAAACAAACCCCAAAACAGATTTCAGATAAATGTTCATCTGATAAGTAACGAGTAGGTGAGGTTGTCAGTAGTTCTATTTCGGTGGTGCTATTTGTTGTGCTCACTGTGAGCTTCATACAGACAGTTTTCTTTTTTCATTTGTTCACACCTCAGACAGCTGAACTGAGCCCAAACAAGCACACAGCTTACACATCTATTAGTTGCATTATATATACAAAATTGTTCATAGCATACCTGACAGCTCAATCTTGGTGTAGTTTCCAACTCCCCACTGTGAGTCTGTTCCACACCAGTATGTCCCAGCATCATCTGCTTCCAGTGCTGTGATCTTCATCATGAAAGAACTGGAAGTAGCATTATCTTGCAGTGTGAACCTCCTTTGACTCACCGCCATCTTTGTGCAATTGTTGCGGTGGTCTCCCTTACAGAGGAACTTGCTGTTATGCCGATATTGTCGAGGATAAGGACACTGCAAAGTTAGTGGATATCCTGCAGTACCATTTATTGTAGTTGATTTTACACAGCACCACTCTGTCAGATTGAAAGAGAAAAGGTATTTTAGAATCACCAGATATTCAGCTTGTTTGGAGCTTATTGAAGAGAAATCATTGATATATTCAGGCTGCTGTAATTAAGTATAACTATGAACTCTCACCTTCAACTTCCAGCTCAACAGCAGAGAAAACATCCACGTCAGAGTTTCTTTGGACACCACAGAGGTATGATCCTGAATCATTTTGAGTCAAGCTGTTAATGGTCACTGTGAATGTTCCTAACATTTTGTCATCATCAAGTCTGAATCGCCCATTTTGTTTGGTGTCAGAGGTGATCAGTGCCTGCTGCAGACATGTGGAGGGCCGGTTTCCTCTGCAGATGTACTTCAGGCTGTTGTGGTACTGAGACTCATACGGACAACTGACAGACTCAGAGTATCCCTCATAACTTTGAACTTTGGTCACAGTGTCACAGCAGCTGTCTGTCAAGAAGGTAAACAACACCAGAAGCGTTACAGCCAAAAAATGGTTATATATAAAGAACAAGAGTTTTATATTCAACTCATTGTTTTAAAGTCTTTCACTTGCTTCACATACATGCTTATATGAGGGTTTAAATATATTTACTGTTTGCATTTATTATTTTATCTCCTCATTAGTCACTGATTTAATGTCTTTTGCTTGTTTCACATACATTTATAAAGTTGTGACTTTTTTCCACCATGCAGTGCTTATATGAGCGTTTACTGTTTGCATTTATTATTTTATCTACTCGGGAGTGTTTTATGTCTTTTTGTTACTGGTCTGTACATGTTTATCCATCGGGCTTAAGCACTGAGATGTCAGCATAGGAGCTTAAGATTGATTGTACTAAACTGAACCAATGAGTATTGAGTTAAGCTACAGTTTAACAGTATGTTGATTTTACAGCAGATATAGCTGGTAATGGCAGTACGTTTAACTTTCTTTATATAATTTTTAATCACTTTAAATGTACAATTCATCCTGTCCATGTCTTTATTTACCTGGTACTAATTTCAGCTCGATTTCAGTGTAAATATCTATTCCAAATATGGTCACTCCACACCAGTATTTCCCAGCATCCACAGAATGAAGATCAGAGATGGTCGTTGTGAAGATTCGTGATGTTTTGTCATCATGGATCCTGTATTTATTTTTCGAGGAGTGTGATGTGGTAATAAGAAGATCACTGTCACCACAGTCATTGTTACACAGGTACTTTTCATAAGATTCATAACCCTCATCATAAGAGCAGGAAACGTTAACCTCTCTCCCCACATATCCAGTCACATGGATCACCCCTGCTTCACAGGTCACACATCTCAGAGTAACTGTAAAGATATTTTGAAAATATTATGTTTTATTTGAAGCAACGTTAAAGCTGTAAAAAAAAAAAAATCAGATGACCAGGACAGCCATCTAACTTTTCATAACTGGTCCTGCATACTGCTCCTTAACAGTAAAACAGATAAATCTACTGTTTAATCTACATCTGCCTTTGACCTTTATATGTTTATTTATTTATTCTTTTAAAATACTTACTGCAGAGGATGAAAAGCAGGTTTTGGAGGCTCCACATCTTTGCTTTGGCTGATTGAAATGTAAGATTTGAAAATGTTATGCAGACACTGTGGTCTTTTACAGCAATGAGAAGGGACGTGCAGAGCTGAACTATAAGTACAGAGGGGATGGCGCTTTCTTCGATGTCTCTTCCTCTAAGTGTATTTTAGTAATTTGTAAAATAGCTGACATAGGCCATCTAGTGGTGAAAGAAGTATTTAGAAGTTAGAAGTGTTAAGAACAGCACTGCCAATACAAGAGTTAAGAGATTTAGGAAATTTTACTTATAAAGCTTGCATTGTAGAAAACCAACTCGGAGGTTTTGTGTTTCATCCTGTTAACATTAAGCATTCATTAATATAAAAGCATCATTAATCCCCTGATTTTGTGTCAGTCCCAAAGCTTGAACCTAATTCAAAATGGGGAGAATTTATAGTCTTATGATGACAAGTTAAAAAAAATCATCTTCATTTTGGGGCTTGCACAGATACTTCTAATAAAGACTAACGGACCAGTTATTCCATTATTAATTAGCTCAGAATTAGAGTTAAACAGTTACTTGTACCACTTGTACCACTGTTTATAGACATGCAAACTGAAGTCCTTGCCTTTAACTATGTAATTAAGGTAATGCAATGTAATTCGGTTTCTGATATTTGTTTGCTTTGCATTGTCTACAGAAAACACACACACACGTATAACTAATTCTTGGAGTCTGCCACTCTCATCTGAACATTTATAAGTGTTCTGACCTGACACATTGAAGCGATTGCTGTCAACTCAGATTTCATGAAACCTTAAAAAACATTTACTTTGTACTACTTTCAGCTCAACTTCAGTCTACATATCATCAAATGTTCTGGTCACTGGACACCAGTATTTCCCAACATCCATAGATTGGAGATCATAGTTAAGGGAGCAGGTCTTTTGAGGGACTGAACGCTGGCGTGTTTTTGCTGCCACTGCTCTCTTTCGATACTTATTGCTTAGTATAGTTACACAGGTTTGTGCTATTCCCAGAACTTATATTTTCTGCCAGGTAAGTTGTTTCCTCGCCTTACTCGGTTGGGTGCTGTGCTTTCGGCCATATTTACTGTCAGCTGTTAGTTTCAGCTGTCACCTTAACCACATATGCATTCACAGCTCACTAGCTACAAAACCAACAAGGCTCTCTGGCATTAGAGCACACCTTTCCCTGGCCTTAAGTACTCCTAATTGCTGATTAGAGTCAGCTGTACAAAAGGGTGGCAACTAAGGCAGGAAGACAGCAGGACAAACCCACACAAGGTCAGTTTCACAGGATAACCTGCAAAGGCCGTAACAATGATAATTGTCATTAGATATAGGCAAAGGCAGCTCTGGCCCTTTTTAAAAACACCTTCATCGTTATTATCTTGGGTGTCTGTAGTACTCATCCACCTCAAAATCTGTTCCCTTGATGATGACAAGGAAGGAAGCAGGAACCTGCTGCTTTTTTATTTTTATGTTACACATTTCTTTACAGTACGCTAGTTGTTTTTGTACATTTTTAATTAATAACAAACACAGATAATACATTTTCTCAGACTCTTATCCTGAGAAATCATGAGGCAATTTTATATAATATACTGCAATTTTTATTAAACATACACTAAGCTTCTTGCAAATAAAATGCATTTAGTAGATTTGAAAAATGTGGTATATCAAAAAGTTTTGAAAGAGCTAATTGAGCCAATAAGCTTACACAGAGAAGCTTATTTTACAGAACAACAAAATAAGACAGCCAAAAGCCTGGAGAGCTTTATATTAATTAATAAACAGTTCAGCATCATTGCTCAAACAGAACAGGTGCATTGTGTCATTACCAGGATTTTCTTATGTAGGACTGATGTTAACATGAAAAAGACACAGTGGTACAAATTAGTAAACAGCCCAATAACACGGAGTTTTTTTTGCCATCTTGGTGTTTAGAAAGCAGATAGACAAAGGGACTAGTTATGCAAACAAGCACTCATTTGTTAACAACCTGTGACTAACAGGTCATTAGGATATATGCATATCGTAGGTAATCTTCTATTCCTACTCTAATAATCAGTGTTAAACAAATACATCACCAGCAGTGGGCTCACTGTGAAACACTAACCAGTAATATTGCACGTAAAGGAAGATAATTTATACAATATGAAAGTTTTGTCAAATGTTCAAGTTGAAAGTTTTGTAGATGTTTCTGTGTATCATGAACATTTTACCTTTCACTGCTGTATTTTTGACTCCAAATGTCTAAAACTGACATTTTCAGCAAAGTGGGGACTTCTTTAAATAGTTCAAAACAATAAACCAAACAAAAACGAATATATAAAATTGAATAAATGTAATGTTTTATTACTGTATGTAAACACATTTGATTGTGTTCCACTTTTGTATTTGTTCACTTAAAAATCATGTGAAATTTTGCATTATTAGATTTTCACATTAAAAAAACAGCAGATATTTTTATGAACACTAAGCAATTAAAATCAAAGCTAGTAACTACAGATGCAAGTGCTACTTCCAGTTAGGTCCATTTATAATTGTTTTTATACCTCTTTGCCAGAACATATTCTAATTATAGTTATACAGTGGACATGGACATAATGCGTAGACTCCCAGCTTTCATTTGAGGGTATCCACAGTCAAATTGAATAAAGAGTTTTGGAGTTTCAGCTTCTTAACATGTGCCAACCGCTTTATAAAGGGACCAGAAGTAACTGGACAACTCAAAGGCTGTTTCATGGGCAGGTGTGGGCACTTCCTGTATTATGTCATTATTAATTAAGCAGATAAAGGGCTTGGAGTTGATTTGATGTGTCATGCTTGCATTTGGAATATTTTGCTGTGAACAGACAACATGCATCCAAAGGAGTTCTCCATGCAGGTGAAAAAAGCCATCCTTAAGCTGAGAAAACAGAAAAACCCATCTGAGAAATTGCTTCAATGTTTGAAATGATAATATCTACAGTTTGGTACATCCTGAGAAAGAAAGAAAGAAAGAAAGAAAGAAAGAAAGAAAGAAAGAAAGAAAGAAAGAAAGAAAGAAAGAAAGAAAGAAAGCAAGCACTGGTAAACTCAGCAACGCAAGAAGACTTGGATGTTCATGGAAGACAACTTTGGTAGATGATCGCAGAATCATTTCATGGTGAAGAGAAACCCGTTTACAACAGCCAACCAAGTGACAGCACTCTCCAGGACGTAGGTGTATCGATATCCAAGTCTACGCTGGCGTGGAATGGCTTATGATCCAAAGCATTCCACATCTTCTGTAAAACACGGCAGAGGCAGTGTGCTTGGGCGTGCATGACTGCCAGTGGCACTGGGACACTAGTGTTTATTAATGATGTGACACAGGACAGAAGCAGCCAATGGAATTCAGAGGTGTTCAGACATACTGTCTGCTCAAATCAGGCCAAATGCAGTCAAATTGATTGGGCAGATGGACTTGTACAGATGGACAATGACCCAAAACATACAGACAAAGCAACCCAGGAGTTTATTAAACCAAAGATGTGGAATATTTTTGAATGGCCAAGTGGGTGACCTGATCTTAACCCAAGTGGGCGTGCATTTCATTTGTTGAAGATTTAAAAGAAGGAAACATAGTAACCGGTGATGTCCATGAGTTCAAGACTTGGGGGTGTAATTGCCAGCAAAGGGTTTCAATCATGTATTAGAAATTAACATTTTATTTTCACCTATTTAATTTGTCCAATTACTTTTGAGTCCCTTCAGCTGCATCTGAGTTGTTTCATTTAAAGAACCAAAATGAGAAAATAGTTGTATCTGTCCAAATATTTATGGACTGAACTGTATCTTCTGTTGGGTTTATGGAAATTTTCATTGCAGTAGATTTATTCACTTGCGGTCAAGTTTTCGTAGTGTACTTCTACATCTACTTCTTCATAGACGTTACTGGTGCTTTGGTCATTGGAGGTCACCACACCTTGATTTTTATAAATCTAAAAAAGAATCAAGACACATTAAACAGAACAAATGAATGACACGTGTTGCAGAGAAATGAGTTGTGGACACATTTAGAAATGTTCTACAATTACACTAAAGCCAGTAGAAGTATTTCCTTATGGTTGTACACCTTAGCAGTGAGTCAAGTTGTAGTGTGGACGTAGGGGTGGGTTTTGATTATAATTTTTCCGATTAGAATCGATTCTAGCTTGAATAACGCGATATTGATTCATTAAAATCCTGAGTTTTTTAACAATTTTTAAGTATAAATTTATTTTGCCCTGAACACCAGAATCTCAGGTTAAACAGCAGGTAAACCGATTCTGCACAAAGACACAAGGACCCGCCGACGCATCAGAGTCAATGAGATGTTGGCTTTCTCACCTGACGGCATGTACACGTACACGCTGAAAGCCGACATCTCACTGTTTCCGATGCGTTGGGTCCGCGCTTTATTTTTTTTTTTGTGCTACATTCAGAAGCTGCAGGTTTTTGTCTCTCTCCAACCAAAATTGAGTGAACCAGCAGCAAAAGAAGATGCAAACTAGGCTTCACATTTTGCTTCACATAAACATCGTCATGAATTCCCTCTTACTTTGTCTCCACCACGATAAAATCACACTTCATGCACAGCTCTCTCTCTCTCTCTCTCTCTCACTCTCAGTGTACTTCAAGAAAAGTTTCCCATCTCAAATCTTTTTTTTTTTTGCATTATGTGCTTGCTTATTACCCACCAGTCTACCGTAATGTGCTCTCGGCCACTGTTTTTTTAATTTATTAATTTATTTTTAACTTAAATGACTTCTGACAAAAAAACCTTATTCCTGGTGTTCAATACTGAAGAAATGTAAACTTTTTAAAAATTCTGCAAAATTAAAAAATGCTTGGCTCTAATAAAGCCTCTATAACTTTGCTCTGCTCCACTTTAGCAGCATCAGATAATATTCATATGTTGATTCATGTTTTTGTTCGTTTTTTTTCTACTGCTAATTATTTATAAGGTTATCTGCTATAAAAAGCCAGGCCAGGAAAATCTCCTTCATGTTTTTTTGTGCTTTATCCTCAGTTACTTTGACACAAAGGCATCTGCTGTTATGCTTACACCTTTGATAAAGTCTCACAAGTCAACTTTCTTTTTATAAATATAAAAATATGCATACACTGCACTGCCATCAAAATACTGATTCTAGATACAGATTCTAACACATGAAAAAAGGAACTTTTAACACAGCTTTTCCAAACGGCCTAGTTTTAATTTGGATGCTTAATTTATTTACTTTGCACACAGATTTAAAATTATTTCACAAAAACCAAAAACTATAAGCATCAAAAACGATTAGCCTTCTTGATTTAGGTCCATTGTGTATCCTTTTTGCTAGACAACAGACTGCAGTCATTTTTTTTTTATAGTTTTCAACAAATCCCACACATATCTCCTGGGCAATCCTGGCCCATTTGTCTTTGTTGCATCTTTTAAGTTCCTCCAGGTTTGATGGTCTTCTGGCATGGACCTTGGTCTTTCGTTCACCCCACACATTTGAAATAGAATTAAAGTCAGGGCTTTCAGCAAGTCAGTCAGAGATGTTCACTTTGGTCTTCTGGAGGTCATTCTTCACCAAGAGTGAGGTATCTTTTGAGTCACTGTAGTGACCCAGACCTAGATGTGCTACTAACTGCTTGAGGTTGTCTTTCATAATATTCACATATCTTTATATCTTTACGATTCCTTCCACTTTCACAAGTTTCCCAGTTCCAGATGCACTGGAGCATCCCTACAGCATAATCACAAAGTTTTCTTTCCAGAGTCTTTGAGATCGTTTCTTTCCTACCTCTCCCAGGCTTGTTCCAAAACGTGTCACTTTCATTGAATTTACTGATTTCACTCCAGTTCTTGACATTTTGAAATCCTGTAATAACTTTCTACATCTAAAAGTATTTTTCTCAAATCTAAACAGATTTGCTGAAGTTTTTGAACTGTTTGTAAACTGGAACATAACCCAGAGTTTTAACCACATCCTTGCATAGCAGCAGTTCTATGGCTGAATGAAAAAGGTCAGTTTTTAATAGGGCTTATTATACTGACTATGATAGTCACAATTGTTGTCTTGTGTGGAAAAATACGCCACCCAGTGGACACTAGAGGGACAGAAAATAATGAACAGAGAAGCAATTCAATGGTCACATGTATCTGTGGGCTGAAGTCAGGAAAGTTTCTGTTAGGCTGCCACTATAGTCGTCTTATAAACACCAGAAACACTGCATTGATTCTGGTATTATTTCCCCCAAATGTTTCTGTGAAAGTGTGCAAATTAGTTTGTTTAGAAATGCTGTGTTAAATTCACTTGTTCTGTTAAAAAAAAAAAAAACAGCCCCACCCTATGGGTTTCACAGGGTGGGGCTAATAATTGTGTCCTCATCTGTAAATGAATGTAGACATAACAAATCCAAATGGGAGATCCAATTAAATTCCAGTTGTCCCACATTCCAAACTAATCTTGCATATTAAACCCAACAAACAGTAAAAAGTCAGTTTTTTTTAATCCTAAATATTCATAATTGAGTGTGAGACAAACATACTTCTCTATTAAGACTTTAGACTTTAGTTTTCTTACTTCACTTTGTGCTGCACCAATCACCTTCTTTGAACTCTTTTTCCTAGATGCATTTCTCCGCAGGGAGAGAACAGCTTCTGAAAACACACAGCATTAAATATGGTTATGCTGTATTTGCATGCACATTTGAGTGTAAGGGTCTCTCTGTGCATATGAATATAAAAGATACCTTCAATCCTGGAATGTCTGTACTTATAAACAAGAACGAGGATACATATCAAAAGCAGTACAGGGGGTATCACATAGAGTGCTGAAAAACAAACAAACAAAAAACTATTGTTCTCATAACACAGAAGTACACATTGACAGTCATACATATATAATATATCTTTAATTTATTTACCTGGGTTCTTTTTTCCCAGAGTGCTCTGTGGAAAGACTGCAAGTGAAAATAACTATAAGTGCTCTTAGCAACGTTATATTAACACAGACTGTAATACAATGACAGGAGATGATAAACTAAAAATTTATCGCATGCCGCTCACTCTTTCCTTCCTGTCTCATTATGTAGAAAGAATTTCATTCTTATCTTTAGTATGTAGCAGGTCAAATCTACTTGTAACATATGAAATATACACTGTAAAAAAAAATTGTAATATAAAAGTATTTTACTGTGTATTTTACAGTTTTGTACTGTTTTTCTAGAATATGATTAAATTTACATAAATAGACTGTGATTTTACATTTCAAATGTAAATTAACGTAAAATCACTGTAAATGTAATAAAACATAATTTTCTTGTTTTGTAAATGTATTTGTCTGTACATATGCATATTTAGATTGTTAAAATACATTCACAAATGTATCATAATTTCACAAATATTTGTCCTTTATTTGAAAGATTGAACTGTTTAATTCAAATGTAATGCTATGGAAAAATATATAAAATGATTCTTATAAACTTTTTTTTACATCAAATGATTATTATTATCATTGTTATTTAGGGCGATCGTAGCTCAAGAGTTGGCTCAAGAGTTGGCAGTTTGCCTTGTAATTAGAAGGTTGCCGGTTCAACAGTCTCTCTCGTTTCATCCTTGGGCAAGACACTTCACCTACTGGTGATGGCCAGAGGGGCTGATGGCGCGATATGGCAGCCTCGCCTCTGTCAGTCTGTCCCAGGGCAGCTGTGGCTACAACTGTAGCTTGCCTCCACCAGTGTGTGAATGTGAGAGTGAATGAATAGTGGAATTGTAAAGCGCTTTGAGGGTCTCGAAAAGTGCTATATAACTGCAATCCATTATTATTTAAACCAACTGTTAACTGTATATTTCTGTACATTTAAGTATTATTATTCATATTGCCGCATTCATTGACCTTGTTTATAGGTAATTTCATTGTTTAATCACATTAAAATGTTCCTAATTTAATGTTTAAAAGCACTTGATAAAGGCAAAATCCCATGTAAAATTAGGGCAACAAACTGTATTGTCATTACTCAAAGTTATTTTCTGTTATTTTCTGGTATTATTTTGGCGCCCCAGCTGCCGAAATATTCCTGGTTTTTTTTAGGATTTTGTTTTTTTTACAGTGTAGAGTGGAGAAAATAATTATTTGATCCTCTCAAATATCCAAATGAACAGAATCAACCTTTTGGGATCTGGATACAATTGTGTCATATTCTGAGGTAGGCTTAGGTAGCCTGGGGACCCTTATTGATACATGCCCTTGTTGGGATAAAAGCAATGACTACAAAAGAAGTCTGCAACATTTTTATCTCACATTTAAAACAAAACCCCAAACCTTGCAAATCCTGTTGCTGTAAATACTCTAGTTTTCATTACTTTTGATCCTACCTTTCTTTACTCATCATTAAACAGAAACTATCAATTATTGAGCCAACCAAGCCCATAAAATGAAAGCAGTTTGTCAAAGAAACTTATTGTACAGAACAACAAAATAAGACCTCTGCACTAATTAGTTGACTAACAGTTCAGCATAACTGCTTAAAAACACAGCTGCACACAGGTGAATGGTGTCATCGCCATGATTTTCTTAAAGGGAGTAGTACAAAACTATAAAAAGTCCAATCACACAGGGTTGTTTTTTTTTTTTTTTGCCACGTAGGTGTTTTTAAACCAGATACACAAAGGAACTAATTATGCAAACAAGGACTCTGAGCACTCATTTATTAACAACATGTGACTGACAGTTTGTTAGGAAATAAACACACTGTGGATAATTCTCTATTCCTACTCTTATAATCAGTGTTACACTAATACATCACCAGCAGGGGGCTCACTGTGTACTAATACTGCGTAGTGTGTAGTGTAGTAATACTGCAGGCAAGGGAAGGAAATTGATTTTCTTGGCTTATCTGAAGGATATCCGCCAAAGGCGAGTGCTGGGCTGTTTTCAAAAGATTTCTGTGTATCATGGACATTTTACTTTTCACTGCTCTATTTTTCAATCCAAATGTCTTAAACTGACACCCTAACAAAGTGGGAAATAATTATTTGTTCCTCTCCAGTTGTTTAATTGTAGATTCATTTTAATGGACAGAGACAGAGTATTAACCAAAAATTCTAAAAAGACTAAGTCAAAGGTTTGGAAATTTAACTAAAGATCTGAATAAACATAATACAAAATCTTAAATTCTATCTATCTATCTATCTATCTATCTATCTATCTATCTATCTATCTATCTATCTATCTATCTATCTATCTATCTATCTATCTATCTATCTATCTATCTGTCTGTCTGTCTGTCTGTCTGTCTGTCTGTCTGTCTGTCTGTCTATCTATCTATCTATCTATCTATCTATCTATCTATCTATCTATCTATCTATCTATCTATCTATCTATCTATCTATCTATCTGTCTGTCTGTCTGTCTGTCTGTCTGTCTGTCTGTCTGTCTGTCTGTCTGTCTGTCTGTCTGTCTGTCTATCTATATACATACATGTATATATATATATAGTCGTGATTTACCAGCAGTACTAAGTAGGGCTCAGTTATTGTTTTGTGTATTTTACAGTTTTTCTCAGTTGCTTTGGTGCATTTCTCACAACAGAATTGATCTCTGCACCACTACTAAGGCTCTTCTCAAAACAATTAGTGCAAACTGCAAAACATGGTGGATAACTTGCAAAAGTGAGTCACTTCATCAAAAAGAAAAGTCAGTTGTTCAAAATAAGTAGTCAATGCTTCAAAAGCAAGTCCCTTAATCAAAACAGATAATACATTCATCAAAAGCAAGTACTTATATCAATCAAAGTGTCAGGGCTGTCACAATTACAAGTCATTACACCAGCACCTTTGGTCACAAAATCAAATGGTTTGAACATGTTCTCATTGTGACGGATTTCTTTGTAGGTGCTTCCCAATGACATGTCAAGTCTGGACAGCATGCATGGCATGTTGAAAACCATAAATTGTAAAGGAAAATCAAGACACTCCATATGCACTCTTGATAATATTTACAGTTTTTTACAGTCGCTAACAAGCGTTTGTCCAAACAGTTGTCACATTTGCAAAACTCTAAACACAATTAGCACAGCATCGGTCTGTTGTGGCCATACCATTCACACATTTCATGTCGTGTTCACCCAATATGCAGTCAGTGAACACATTTCCACAATGCTTACATTTTCTTAACAGACAAGTTATACCTCCCAACAAAACTATGGACTGTTCTTGTAGTATCTACGAATGTTACAGTTTTTCTCAGTTGCTTTGGTGCATTTCTCACAACAGAATTGATCTCTGCACCACTACTAAGGCTCTTCTCAAAACAATTAGTGCAAACTGCAAAACATGGTGGATAACTTGCAAAAGTGAGTCACTTCATCAAAAAGAAAAGTCAGTTGTTCAAAATAAGTAGTCAATGCTTCAAAAGCAAGTCCCTTAATCAAAACAGATAATACATTCATCAAAAGCAAGTACTTATATCAATCAAAGTGTCAGGGCTGTCACAATTACAAGTCATTACACCAGCACCTTTGGTCACAAAATCAAATGGTTTGAACATGTTCTCATTGTGACGGATTTCTTTGTAGGTGCTTCCCAATGACATGTCAAGTCTGGACAGCATGCATGGCATGTTGAAAACCATAAATTGTAAAGGAAAATCAAGACACTCCATATGCACTCTTGATAATACTTAATTGAAACTGTTCACAGCATTGTGCAAACTGGGGAAATACAGTAAATCAAACATTTTACAGCAAACATAAACTCACTTAGACAGTAAACCTCACTCCAGTGGTTATGAAACAAAAAAACAAAACTGAAAAACAGACACTGCTGCATATCAATCATTGATATCTAGACGCTCCCGTCTGTCTGCCCACATATTTGCATCAACATCACAGCGAATGTCAGCTCTATCGATGCATCGGGGAAAGTATCTTCTGGAGTGTCAACTCCACTCTCTGCAGGACTCTGCTGTGATGTCATCACAAGCTGCATCCATAGCTGCTAGCAGGGTCATTTGGGTATGTGGATGCCTGTCATATACCTTCCACCTCCAGGAAGAGAAAAACTCCTCAATTGGATTTAGGAATGGAGTGTAAGGAGGAAGAAACTCCATAAGTATCCTGTCGTGTGCTGCAAACCACTGCCCGACTACAGCAGAGTGATGGAAGCTAACATTATCCCAAACCACTACATACATTGTCCGATTGTCACCAGGATCATCCCTTTCATTTTGTGGGATTAGGTCCCTATAAAGAGCGTCCAGAAAAGCCAACCGGTGTTGTGTATTGTATGCACCAATACGAGGAATATGGGTGTGAACGCCATTTTCTGAGATTGCTGCACACATTGTAATATTTCCTCCTCGTTGGCCTGGGACATCAATGGTGGCTATTTCTCCAATGTGATTTCGTTCACGCCTTTTGCAAGATTGAATCCCGCTTCGTCAAGATATACAAACGTGTGCAGGGGTTTCATGGAAACTCCTTAAAAATAGGGTTTTCAAAATGGGTGTACAAAGTGTTTGACAAGATGTTCAACAATTTTGAGTGCACTGACACAAGCAATGAAATGAAGACTATTAGTTGTAAGGACAATGACTATTCAGCCGGTACAAGTATAAATAATTGTGACATTCATGATAAAAGAAAGGAGATAGTGATGAATAGCAAGTCAAAAGTGACCATTCTTTAGATATTTGTACTTACTCAACTGCTTCATGTCCAAAGGCATTTGCCTTTGGACGCAATGAACATGAAACCACCACAAGGTTGTGCCAAAACGACTACATGTTGTGGAGGTTGAACTAACTGTTGTGCAAAGTTTAATTCTGTTGTGAGAAATGCACCAAAGCAACTGAGAAAAACTGTAATCAAAACAGATAATACATTCATCAAAAGCAAGTACTTATATCAATCAAAGTGTCAGGGCTGTCACAATTACAAGTCATTACACCAGCACCTTTGGTCACAAAATCAAATGGTTTGAACATGTTCTCATTGTGACGGATTTCTTTGTAGGTGCTTCCCAATGACATGTCAAGTCTGGACAGCATGCATGGCATGTTGAAAACCATAAATTGTAAAGGAAAATCAAGACACTCCATATGCACTCTTGATAATATTTAATTGAAACTGTTCACAGCATTGTGCAAACTGGGGAAATACAGTAAATCAAACATTTTACAGCAAACATAAACTCACTTAGACAGTAAACCTCACTCCAGTGGTTATGAAACAAAAAAACAAAACTGAAAAACAGACACTGCTGCATATCAATCATTGATATCTAGACGCTCCCGTCTGTCTGCCCACATATTTGCATCAACATCACAGCGAATGTCAGCTCTATCGATGCATCGGGGAAAGTATCTTCTGGAGTGTCAACTCCACTCTCTGCAGGACTCTGCTGTGATGTCATCACAAGCTGCATCCATAGCTGCTAGCAGGGTCATTTGGGTATGTGGATGCCTGTCATATACCTTCCACCTCCAGGAAGAGAAAAACTCCTCAATTGGATTTAGGAATGGAGTGTAAGGAGGAAGAAACTCCATAAGTATCCTGTCGTGTGCTGCAAACCACTGCCCGACTACAGCAGAGTGATGGAAGCTAACATTATCCCAAACCACTACATACATTGTCCGATTGTCACCAGGATCATCCCTTTCATTTTGTGGGATTAGGTCCCTATAAAGAGCGTCCAGAAAAGCCAACCGGTGTTGTGTATTGTATGCACCAATACGAGGAATATGGGTGTGAACGCCATTTTCTGAGATTGCTGCACACATTGTAATATTTCCTCCTCGTTGGCCTGGGACATCAATGGTGGCTATTTCTCCAATGTGATTTCGTTCACGCCTTTTGCAAGATTGAATCCCGCTTCGTCAAGATATACAAACGTGTGCAGGGGTTTCATGGAAACTCCTTAAAAATAGGGTTTTCAAAATGGGTGTACAAAGTGTTTGACAAGATGTTCAACAATTTTGAGTGCACTGACACAAGCAATGAAATGAAGACTATTAGTTGTAAGGACAATGACTATTCAGCAGGTACAAGTATAAATAATTGTGACATTCATGATAAAAGAAAGGAGATAGTGATGAATAGCAAGTCAAAAGTGACCATTCTTTAGATATTTGTACTTACTCAACTGCTTCATGTCCAAAGGCATTTGCCTTTGGACGCAATGAACATGAAACCGCCACAAGGTTGTGCCAAAACGACTACATGTTGTGGAGGTTGAACTAACTGTTGTGCAAAGTTTAATTCTGTTGTGAGAAATGCACCAAAGCAACTGAGAAAAACTGTATTATTTTATTTTTTGGGTGGGTAGCACTGGGCTAACAGTTTTTATTTGATCACACCTCGGACAACTGTATGATCACCTACACTCTGTTTCCATAATGGAGCTCTAACAAACACATATCCTACAAATATGTTTATTGTATTATCATAGTGTGTACAAAAGTGTTTAACATACCTGACAACTGAATCTTGGTGTAGTTTCCAACTCCCCACTGTGAGTCTGACCCACACCAGTATGTCCCAGCATCAGCTGCTTCCAGCTTTGAGATTATCACAATCAAAGTGCTGGAAGAAGCATCTTGTAGTGTGAATCTGCTTTGATTCTTCAGCATATCTGTGCAGTTGTTTCGCTGGTCTCCCTTACAGAGAAACTTCCTGTTATCCCGGTATTGTGAAGGATAAGGACACTGCAAAGTTAGTGGATGCCCCACAGTACCATTTATTTTAGCCGATTTGACACAGCAGAACTCTGTATGAATGAAAGAAAAAGGTTATTTCAGAATCATCAGATATTCAACTGATGTAATGAAAACATTCAGATCAGAGTTTCTTTGAACACCACAAAGGTAATACCCTGAATCCTCTTAGCTCAAGCTGGTGATGTTTATGTATGTAATTTTTTTTTTTAACTTTTTATCATCATAAAGTCTGAATCGTCCATTTTTCTTGTTATAAGAGGTGATTAGTGCCTGTTTCCTCTGCAGATGGCTGTTCTGGTACTGAGGCTCATACAGACAACTAATGGATACTGAATATCCCTGATAATTCAGAATTTTAGTCACAGTGTCACAGCAGTGGTCTGTCAACAGGGGTAAAAGCATCAGAAGACATGTTACACCCATTAAACAGTTGTATATAAAACTTAAGGATTTCATATTTAACTCATTGAACAACTTCATATTTGTAAACTTGTGACAGTTTTCCATCATTTGATGCTCATATAGTGCTTTAAATTTTACAGCACAGAAACAGATAATCCTGAACAAGCAGAAACTTTCTATGAATTCCCATTAACTGTAACTCAGTGTCAAACTGAATTTTACTAAGTCTTTGTTTACCTTTTACTAATTTCAGCTTGACATCAGTGTAGATATCTTCTGAACAGAGACTTGGAGGAGAGAGACCTAATATTTAATAATCCACATTCCACTGTTTTACTCTTTGGTTCAGATGTGGATACTGTATTGTTCTTTCTTTGTGATTTTTTACGTTAAGGTTGTTTATTGCTGGTTTTTAGTTTCTTTTTTGTCTGTTTGGGAGCTGACACAGTCTCAATGGAGATGGGTTTTTGGGGGGGTAGCAGGAGGAGAGACGCTGCAGAGAGGCGTGTAAGACTGCAACTCTGCTTCCTGGTCCCAACTCTGGATATTCATATTTTGGGGGGTTTAATAAATTTGTCCATATTTCTAGAAATGAGAGCTGCGCCATCTGAAGTGGGATGGATGCCGTCTCTCCTAACAAGACCAGGTTTCCTCCAGAAGGTTTGCCAATTATCTATGAAGCCCACATCATTTCTTGGACACCACTCAGACAGCCAGCAATTTAAGGAGAACATGCGGCTAAACATGTCACTCCTGGTCTGATTGGGGAGGGGACCAGAGAAAACTACAGAGTCCAACATTGTTTTGGCAAAGTTACACACCGATTCAATATTGACTTTAGTGACCTCCGATTGGCGTAACTGGGTGCCATTACTGCCGACGTATATTATGATTTTACTGTATTTATGTTTACCCTTAGCCGGCAGGTTTACATTTCCCTCAATGTTGCCTGCTCTGGCCCCTGGAAAACAATATGAAATATAGAGTGTGGAAAATAATTATTTGATCCTCTGCAATATCCAAATGAACAGAATCAACTTTTTGGGATCTGGATACAATTGTGTGTCATATTCCGAGGTAGGCTTAGGTAGCCTGGGGACCCTTACTAGATACATGCCCTTGTGGGGATAAAAGCAATGTAGAAGTTATAGTTTTTACAAGATTTTCTACTGTAGGAGATACAGTTTTTCCAGGAGTTTTTATTGTAGAAGGTACAGTGCTGGTATGCTGCAGAAAGACTGTTGGAGAAAAAACCCTCTTAGTTCTCTTAGAAACTTTATTTTAACACAAGAATCACGTTTTAGTAGAATGACTAGTGCAGAGGGTCCTACCCTAAAAATCTTAAACTATTTACACAACTGAAATTAGATTATTAATTAATGACATAATTAATTAATTTAGTCATTTATGTAGCAAACCATCCAGTAAAGAAGATAAAAAAAAAAAACTGGCCTCTAGTTCTGTTTGGCATATATTCTGTGCTTTGTGTGAAACACTATGAGGGCAGAGTTGTCATAATTCTATCACACTACAAACAACTGAATTACCAGCCGCAGTGTATGCTTTAAAAGCAGTGTAAAAAAAGCATGTAACTCATAGCTCTGTCTATTTTTCCTTTATTAAAATGTGTTCATCTTACCGACTGACAGCTGAATCTTGGTGTAGTTTCCAACTCTCCACTGTGAGTCTGACCCACACCAGTATGTCCCAGCATCATCCTCTTGTATCTTTGTGATCGTCACTGAGAAAGAGTTGGAATAAATATCATCTTGTAGTGCAAATCTGTTTTGACTCGTCCCCATGTCTCTGCAACTGTTGCGGTGGTCTCCCTTACAGAGGAACTTCCTGTTATCCTGATGTTGTTGAGGATAAGGGCACTGCAGAGTTAGTGGCTGTCCAACAGTACCTGTTATTTTAGTTGACCTGACACAGCACCACTCTGTCAGATGGAAAGAGAAAAACTATTTACGATTCAAAAATATTAAACTTTCAGAAAGACTTTTTTTTTTTTCTCGAAGAAGCTGTTTTCTTTTGGTTGGTATAATGAGATATTACTATGACCTCTCACCTTTGACTCTTAGCTCAACAGCAGAGAAAACATCATGGTCAGAGTTTGTTTGAACACCACAAAGGTAATGCCCTGAATCACTTTGGGTCAAGCTGCTAATTGTCACTGTGAATATTCTTGACATTTTTACATCATTAAGTCTGAAGCGACCATTTTCTCTGTTGTTAGAGGTGATTAGCGCCCGCTGCAGACATGTGGAGGGCTGGTTTCCTCTGCAGATGTACTTCAGGCTGTTCTGGTACTGATTCTCATAAGGACAATTGATGGACTCAGAGTATCCCTCATAACTTTCAATATTGGTCACAGTATCACAGCAGTGGTCTGTCAAAAAGACAAATGTATTAATTTTACAGAGTTTGTAAAATGTATTAGTTTTCTGTCAGCTGATATAATGAGATGTTACTATGACCTCTCACCTTTAACTTTCAGCTCAAAAGCACAGAAAAGATGCAGGTCAGAGTTTCTTTGGATGCCACAGAGGTAACGCCCTGAATCACTTTGGGTCAAACTGCTAATCTTTGTTGTGAGTTGTGTTGACATATTTTCTTCGTCAAATCTGAATCGCCCATTTTGTTTGTTGTAAGAGGTGATTAGTGCCTGTTGCAGACACATGGAGGGCCGTGTTCCTCTGCAGATGTACTTCAGGCTGTTCTGGTACTGGGACTCATACAGACAACTGAAGGACACTGAATATCCTGCATAACTTTCAACTTCTTTCACACTGTTACAGCAGCTGTCTGTCAAAAAGATCAACAGCATTAGAAAACACGCTACAGCCAATACAGATATGATGTTTTATTTAATTAGCTTGCTGCAACAAAATTGTATGTAATGGATCTTAAAAAAACCTGAACTAAACTGAAACATTGATAATGGCTAAAACTGAGGTGCAGGTCATATTTATAGCATTTAATGCAAGTAATGTTCTATCAGTTATATTTTTGTCTGTCGTTACATTGGAACCTATACAATAACAATGGGTTTGTACATATGATTTTACCTCAATTCAACATAAAATTCGATTTTGGGAAAGGTTTATTTACCTTGGACTAATTTCAGCTCGACTTCGGTGTAGATATCTATTCCAGTTCTGCTCACGCCACACCAGTATTTCCCAGTATCCACAGAACGAAGGTCAGAGATGCTCGTTGTGAAGATTCGTGCTGTTTTGTCATCATGGATCCTGTATTTGCTTGTCACTGGATTTGATGTTGTAATAAGAACATCATCATTGCTGCCACAGTCATTCTTACACAGGTACTTCTCATAAGACTCGTAACCCTGATCATAGGAGCAGGAAACTTTAACCGCACTCCCCACATATCCAGTTACATGGATCACCCCTACTGCACTGGTCACACACCTCAGAGCAACTGGAAAAAGAATGTAAAAGTCAACATGGTAGGTTTCATACTAACAATGTTAGTGCTGTATAACGAAATTACCAAGACTGAAAAAGCGTTTGGCCTACTGCTCCTAAATTACTAGAAGAGATATGTGTACTACTTAGTCTACATCAGCCTTTATATGGTCTTCATATTTTAGTTATTTACCAGTTTAAACAACTTACTGCAAAAGGTGAACAGCAGGTTTTGAAGTCTCCTCATCTTTGCTTCAGTTTGTCCAAATAGAGCCTTGACAGGAAATTCTCTCAGGTTTAAAAAAAATCATGCCAACAATAGGTGTCATTTAACGCCATAGTAATGTGAAGGGAGGGGTAGAGCTGGACCATCAACACAGATGAGGTGGAGCATTCTTAGTTGGGCTTACACATTCCATCTAGTGGTTAAAGAAGATTTCACAAGCTTTCCATAATAGCATAGGATTGAATAGAATAGCCCTTTATTGTCATTGTACACACTGTTCCAAAAAATAGTAATGTCAAATTATTTTACTGTGTATTTTACAGTTGTGTACTGTTTTTCTAGAATATCATTACATTTACATAAGTAGACTGTGATCTGACACGTCAGATGTAAAATAACATAACATCACTGTAAATGTAATAAAACACAATTTACTTGTTTGTTAAATATATTTTGTTGTACATATGCATATTTAGATTGTAAAAATACATCCAGAAATGTCTCCCATCAGGCCTTGGGACATGTGCTGCTGTTCAGATGTTCTTGTTTTATTGTTTATGGTTACGTTACTTTTAACTGTTATCTTGAATGTTATGTTTACGCCGTGGTGCAGCGTCACTGACAGTTGTTGTTTTGTAGCGAGAGTGCTGTACCATGAGTGACTTCTGTTGTGCTGTTGCTGAACCTTGAGGCATATTGTAGCACCGGCAAGCGTTTTAATAAAGAGCTCCCCCTACCAGCTAGGGGTTAAATAACAAGCTCAATCTCTTTCTGTGAGCTTCTTTGTTAAGATTTCTCTGCATGCCACAATGTAAAACATTGTACGGACACGCTATGCTAATGATATATTTTGAAAAAGAAATGTAGAGGTAGGAATTGTAATTATTATAAATAACATGACGCTAAGCATTGGCCAATGAATGTGAACTAACAACAACAAGGTTGCGGGTATGGCTGCGACCATAGGAAAAAACCCTAATATGAAGGTATTTTACTGTGCATTTTACAGTAATCTTCTGTTCTTCTAGAATATCATTAAAGTTACGTAAATAGACTTTGACTTCACATTTTGAATGTCAAATCCCATGTCAAATTAGCGCAACAAACTCTATTTTCATTACTGAAAATAACTGTATTTTTATGGGACAGTTATTTTCTGTTATTTTACGGTCGTATTTTGGCGCCCCAGCTGCCGGAATATTACCGTTTTTTTAAGATGTTTTTTTCCCCCTATTTATAGATGATTTCATTGTTTAATCACATTAACATGTTCCTGATTTAATGTTTAGCGGCACTTGAAAAAGGCGAGATCCCATGTCAAATTAGCGCAACTAATTGTATTTTCATTACTGGAAATAACCGTATTTTTATGGGGAGTTATTTTCTGTTATTTCACGGTCGTATTTTGGCGCCCCAGCTGCCGGAATATTACCGTTGTTTCAGGATGGTTTTTTTTTAACAGTGCATGTACAATGAAATTGTAAAATTGTGTGTGTGCCACACCAACCATGCCGGCATAAAATATAAATAGTAGACAGCAGGAATCCCTTTTTAAAGAGAGAGCTATTTAAACAAACTACCACTTTACTGCTAAGTAAAAGACACACAGAAAAAATTAATAAAAGTTCAAGTATGAAATTGGTCAAAGTCCGAAGCGCTCCCTCTGACTGCCTACTGCCCCCAAACCCTGTTCCAGCCAGATGATTTCAGCTGGCTTCAGACTGGTATTAAATACTTGGGCATTACATTCCCCCCTTTGATATCTAACATGTTTCAGGCTAATTTTGAACCTCTATTGGACAAGTTCAGAACCAACATAATTAGATGGTCCCCTTTGTTTCTCACCCTTTTGGGCAAAGTTAACATCATTAAAATGAACTGTGCCCAAAAGGGTGAGAATGTAATTACTTACTACAAACACTACAAACACTCCTGCTAAAAATCCCATCAAAATATTTCCATCAATTTGACAAGTAATGTCCTAGTATAAAGCTTAAAAGGCTACATCAACCAGTCAAGTCGGGCGGCCTGGGGGTTCCATATTTACTGTTTCACCATTATGCTTTCATTCTGAGACACATGGTTCACTGGGCCCTCCCTCTACAAGTAGTCTGCAAAGACTGTGTGTGTTCCAGAGTGCTCTGGCATACACACACATCCTTAGGTCATTAGAGAGGTTGTACCTTCTCTTTCAGATGTAAACTGTACATGTTCATGGCATAATTACCATGTTTTTCTTACACAGAAAACAACCAGTGATTTACACGTCATGAGAAAATAAACATATTGTAGTGAATCTTCTATTGTTACTCTAATAATGGTCATCCATCCATTGTGTTCCGCTTATCCTCGTCAGGGTTTGCCTGCTGGAGCCTAATAGGGCTCGAGGCAGGGTAGACCCTGGACAGGTCACCAGTCTATCGTAGGGCTAACACAGAGAGACAGACAACCATTGTCTCCATCCCCAGAATCATCAGTTAACCTAACACCCATAACTGCATGTCTTTGGACTGTGATAGGAAGCTGGAGTACCTGGAGAGAACCTGCAAACATGGGGAGAACATGCAAACGCCACGCAGAAAGGCCCTGGTCAGCTGAGTCAAACCCAGGACCTTCTTGCTGTGAGGCAATAATGCTAACCACCACGCCACCATGTTACCATATGGCCATAATTTACAAAAGAACTTCATGTTTTCTTTAGTAGATCCTGGCAAATTCAGCGTTCCATTATTTTCATGACCAAGACAAGAAAGTATTTGTTCTTGGAGAACCTTCTGATGATTTTTCCTTTAAGTAACATATGGACTCACAAGGCGTAGTGTGAAACTGTGTTGTGTGTTTTTCTATATTTTACACTTTGCACCTCTGTGATATACTTTCCATTACAGTCCAGTGAATATATATGTTATATCCAGACACTGAAAGGGAAGGAAAGAAGTTGATTGTCCTGCTCTTCTGAAGTATGTCTGTCTTTTTGGGGGGGTACAAAACTCTGTTAACTGGAAAAGCAGTTGTGGTAATAAAAGTTTAATTAGGTAAAATAAATGAAGATGAATATAAATCAGTGTACTATTAAATGTATTATTATGTGTCGCCAGACTGTATTTTATTTTACTTTGCTTATTTAGTTAGTTCACACTCATGTTGATAATTTACATTTGGAGAATTCTACATTTTTATTTTAAAAAGAGTAGAAAGTTTTATGAACACTCTAAGGAATACTAATGAAATGAAATATATGGAACCACAGTTGTGAACTCAATTCATGTTTTTCTATTATGGAAACTTTCATTACAGTGAATTTCTTCTGTTGTGGGCATGTTTGCGTAGACCTCTTCATCTCTACCTGGATCTTCATGGTGGCTACAGGTGCGTTGCTTTTTGTAGGTCAAGACACTTTCTTGATTTTCATAAATCTAAAAAAGAATCAGCACACAGTAAGCAGAACAATGAACGACACACGTTGCAGAGACCTGGGTTGTTGGAAAAAAATGTCTATACACTGGCATTTCAGCCAAAGTAGCCTTATGCTTCCTCCAGCAAGTCAGGTTGCAGTATTAATTTATGTCCATCCAGGGTTATAATAACCAAAATTTAGTAAACATTTTTTTTAAGGAATTATAGTTAAGGGTAATAAATGTAACAGCACACAAATTCTATAATCAGTGTTCTGGAAGTGCAGCCTGTTGGTCAATAGCCACTCTTTCATGCCACAATGTAACAATGCACCATGATACACTTCCTAAAAGTGTACAGTTAATGTCACACTATGATATAGAAGTGAAAACAGGTCAAGGGAGCACTTCTCTTTTAACTCTTGTGTTCAAAACAGTTAGACTACATCTTCCTATTTAATTAAATCGCCAAATAAATTTTACATATTAAAGGTTGTTTGGACTATGAGTAAAATCAGTCATTTCTTTTATTGTAATTATTTATAGTGGAGTGTGTTATAGACGCACAACTCTATTAATACTCTTTCTCTAAGACTTACTCTGCTTCCTGTTGCACCCATCACTTCCTTTGAGCTCTTTGCCTTTGGTGTATGTTTGCTCGTGGTGTCCCCAGCTTCAGAAAATACACAGCATTAGATGTGGTTATGCTAGTTTTTCATGCACATCTGAGTTTAAGGGTCTCTGTGTGTATATGAATGTAACAATACCTTTGAGACATCTGTACTTATAAACAATTACTAGAACGCACATTATCAGCAGCGCAATGGGTACTGTGTAAACCAGCGGTCTCCAACCTCTTTTGCGCCATGGACCGGTTTATGCCCGACAATATTTTCATGGACCGGCCTTTAAGGTGTCGCAGATAAATACAACAAAATAAAACTAGTACCGGTACCGAAAAAAAGAAGATTTATTCATAACATACGTGAAAAGACCCAGGAAAACCAAGTTAACGATAAAAACGAAAACAAAATAATGCTGAAAACCGATAAAAACCCTCAAAACCATACATTTCACACCTGAGCCTCAACTCTCGCGGCCCGATACCAAACGACTCACGGACCGGTACCGGTCCGAGGCCCGGGGGTTGGGGACCGCTGGTGTAAACCACATAGAGTGCTGCATCTGAAAAATAGAAACCAAAACAGAACACAGTAAAATTGCACACTTTCAATAACAATCTTTCATGCACCTAACAGAAGACCCGTGGACTTGCGTAATGGTTTCATAATTTTCGGTTTATAAGTTACGTTTATAACTTAACTGTGGTTACTGGTGCACACACCCACAGATGTTTTAACATATTGGCTTGACTTACATTTACTTCATGTAACCATGAAGCCATAACCAAAACCAAATGTTAACCATAATTCATGGTATGAAATTTATTTATTTATTTATGGAAATGACTGAAAGATTAATTGGCTCTGTTTTGAGTTTTGTTCAAAAAAGAATGACTTCATATAGGGAAAAATATATATCACATATGCAGGACACCTTAAACTAGTTTTTTAATTAAGCAGCAAGGCAGAACAAAATCAGGTCTGTATCAAGACACGAGGACTAAACCCCAATTCAACCAGACCCAGATTGTCAGGGTCCTGGGTCTCCTGAC